GTAGCACGGTTTCATAAATCAGTCTCGATTACTTAACCAGATTTGAAGGATTCTTCGAAAGAAATTGCGGCAACAGTGAAACTTGGAAACATATATTGATGTCGTTTATTGCACATAAATCTAACATATTTTTAATATTTTTAAACTATGCTCGTGTAATGAAGGCAGTATGCGTATAATATTTGAAAATTAAGATATAAGAAATCGAGAAAGTATGATTTTTTCCTTGAAAGGATAAGCAGTATACTAAAATCTCCTAATCTGATTTGTATTAGCAATGAAACGTGCAAAGTGGCCGAAGAATTTCGCTGCCCTTCGCCTCGATCACCGGAGATACGGTTACCGGCACCGTTTTTTGTGGCCCTGCTACCCCCATAAACGACGTCAACATCCCCACAAATGACCCTGTGCCGAACTTTTTTTCCTCTTTTGCCTGACATTCACACGTTCACTAGAAATTTATAGGTTTTATCGATGTAATTTGTTGACGTCTAGGAAATTTACCAAATAAAAGCGTTTGTAAAAATAATTTGTACACTTCTAATTGTTCCCTTTGCTTCTTCATACTCAACAAAATTTACTTGTTAATATGTTGATGTTTAATGTTTAACAGAATTTTTAGTTTTTTTTTAGTTTGTAAAATATGGTTATCAGTAAATTCACCAGATGTCAAGAACTCACAGGTCACGAGAAATCCTTTGGATTGACCTCATGCTTCTCTTATTTCCTTCGCCTTTTCCTATTTTCCAAAATTGCTTAAGAAACGATGTATGCAAAGCCGCAAAGAAATTTCCTTTCGATCCGTATACACTCTGAGTTTTATCTTTGCGAGAGACCGTCGGATTTCAGCAATTCTCGTTAATTCCAAATAGCACTCAGCGTTCTCGATGAAGCAGCTACGACGATTCAAAGCATTTGCTTCGTACCATCAAGTAGTTTCATACCACGAATTTATTTTACAACGAAATTGACCACGGAGCAACTACTAAAAGCATCTCAACTAAGACTTTGCATCGAATTGATACTCCGCGACAAATCATGCTGAGAGATAAGTCGAGGTTTATGGAACTATCGTAAAAAATTTTTTATTACGAAACTGAATATAGTAGCATTGAAGCAATTCACAGTTGTTCTGAAGGTTTAAGAATTTTTTCTATTATACGCCATGTTTTTGGAACCTCTTTTGAGAATTGCCAAATCGCTTTCGACATCGGCATAAATTTTTCTTGCGTGCAGCCGACGCGAAATTTAAATTCACGTTCGCCTGGAATTTCCGTCGCATTTCAATTAGTGGCAGTAGAGAATTTTCCATTGAGAAATTTCACGCTCCAGATACGTAGAAACAGCGAACAAGCGTTCGCCGCTGAAGATCGCGATACCTAAATACCTATTACCTTGAGAGAAATCGTAGCGAACGTCGACCGGGGGAGATGAAAGCCTAATAGAAATTTTGGACACGAGTGAATTTTCCGGACGACGTGCGGGTAGGTGAGAAAAAAGAAAATTGCTAGAAAATGAAGCCCGGAATGTAATTTATGATGAAACGTAATTACGGTGGGAGTCACATTTCATTTTAAAATTCAACGAGGCGCGTGGAATTTTTAAAATATGCTCAGCCATGTTTTGCACGGTGGTTCCACGCTTTTTTCTCCAAGGCTGCGTCGTACTTCTCTTAACATAATTTCCTGCGATCCTTTGTAGTAATTCTAAAACACGCAGTCATTGCATAACGAATGACAGTACAAAGAACTATTGTGGACAAATAAGAGCAAAATAAGTTGGTAGCTTGTTCTAATTTTTAAAATCCTTACTCATTCCTATGTCCAATTATTTTCTTAAGAATTCCAAAATCTTTAATAAAACAGTATATATTATACGTTCACTTTACGCCGGTTGAAGAATTCTCATATCTTTGTGGACACGTAGCTACGTGCTGCTAGAAAGAGGAGATTTTATGAATACGTTTGGGAAGCCAAATGACGCTTCCGTCAATATGTAGCTATCCACACTTGGGAGAGTGAATTTAAAGGAGATCACTCCATTGTGCATGAACATTCCCTGCATTACATTTATGGAATATTTTCATCAAATTCCCGCCCCCCCCCAATACATTACGTATATCTACAGTGTCAGGTTACCTATAATCAATTACTTAAAAGTACTCATCTTTAAAACGAAAATTTTTGAATTGTACAAATGACACGATAGATTTATATGCTAATATGGCAGTATAAATGACAGAATTATAAAACTAAGTTGAAGGAATTTATCCCAGCATCTCAAAATATGCTCATCAAGAATTTTGATCGAAAACTGTAATAAATCTATAGATATTAAATTTTTGTACCATGTTTTCTAAGAACTTTTGAAAATCTGACGTAGCTCGATGCACTCATAAATCATTGCTTGGAGATAAAATATCCATTATTTCAATTCAATTAGCACAATGGAAAGAGTGAAGAAAAAAAGTCACTGGAACGACTGGATTCGACCTCTTGTCGTAGCTCTTCTTTCCCATTTTCCCACTCTTTCCCGTCTCTAATTGCATCGAAGAAAGAGAGAGCAAGGTTGGGTCGTCGATCGGCGCGAAAGCGAGGTTCATTCTTTATCCGGTCGGTTTTATCTCGTCCCGTAGGAATGGGATAGACGGAACGGTTCACAGGTGTTCCAGTGGCTTGCGCGAAAAAGTGGCCACGACGCACCGCTTTTACTGCTCCCTCGTAAACAAAACCCGGCTCGCACCTTATCACTCTCTTGGCTATTCCTTGTTTCCCATGCTTGTCACATTCACCCGTCACGGTTTATGCATACAAGACATGCCGCTCATGCCTCAGGATACGTTGTAAAATGTACAGCCAAATGAGACATTCGTAGGAGTATGAGTTCACAAAATCGAAAACTGTAATAAATCTATAGATATTAAATTTTTGTACCATGTTTTCTAAGAACTTTTGAAAATCTGACGTAGCTCGATGCACTCATAAATCATTGCTTGGAGATAAAATATCCATTATTTCAATTCAATTAGCACAATGGAAAGAGTGAAGAAAAAAAGTCACTGGAACGACTGGATTCGACCTCTTGTCGTAGCTCTTCTTTCCCATTTTCCCACTCTTTCCCGTCTCTAATTGCATCGAAGAAAGAGAGAGCAAGGTTGGGTCGTCGATCGGCGCGAAAGCGAGGTTCATTCTTTATCCGGTCGGTTTTATCTCGTCCCGTAGGAATGGGATAGACGGAACGGTTCACAGGTGTTCCAGTGGCTTGCGCGAAAAAGTGGCCACGACGCACCGCTTTTACTGCTCCCTCGTAAACAAAACCCGGCTCGCACCTTATCACTCTCTTGGCTATTCCTTGTTTCCCATGCTTGTCACATTCACCCGTCACGGTTTATGCATACAAGACATGCCGCTCATGCCTCAGGATACGTTGTAAAATGTACAGCCAAATGAGACATTCGTAGGAGTATGAGTTCACAAATTGGGATTTGCGACATTTTAATGAATAAAGATATGAAAAAAAAATTTTCTATAAATTTAATTATTTGGTATTATTTATATATCTGATCAGAGATTAAATTGTAGTTCACAGTTATTAGAAGTGCACTTGCTATTCATATTGTTCTAAGCTCGTGCTTCACTCATACGTCAGCGAGATTCAGTTAATTCCAATTGGCGACGACGAGACGTGTATTTGTCGTTCTGGGAGCTCCTCTCGCACCCGATAATCGGTAAAGCTGCTTGCTTTCCAGGAACTCCCACGGGAGCGTGAATTCACCCGGAGTCTTGTTCGAGCAAATCGTATGGAGCTGTGAGAAGAACGTGCGGTTGGTTTCGGTCGCCAGGAAGATTTGTGTGCTTAGATAAGCAATTTCCTATTCGATAAATCTTCCATTTATGGATTACCAAAAGACGAAATGTGGCGTGCAAAGAAATATAAAGCACATTCAACTTTAGTAGCGCTTTAAATGAAGAGTAAAAGTGCTTAGTCCACAAGTTCGATCAGAAATATTAAAATTACAGGTACTCGAGTAGTAAAAATGCGTTTCAGCCCAGAGAAAATACCGTTCACGTCTAATTACTAATTACTAATATCAGAGTGGGGAGTTCGATTGATCATTAAATTTACACAGTCAACGTTTGACAGCAGAAAGGACATTTTTACAGTTTTTCATTCGCTTAAAGCCCAGAGAGATGAGAAGTAAGGGAGACTCGACCCGAGATGGATTATACGATGAAACAATATTTGAGGAACGATTTTATCAACTTTCGCGATGAATTCCCTAGACTTCTCTTTCTCCATGTTCTTTTTACCATCCGTTTGAAATCCATTCACTGTAATCCAATCTAGCGAGGAGAATTAATTGAAACTTTCTGGGAATTCTTAATTCATTGCCGGTTTGTTTCATTCTCGTTAGCCAGACTATCGACGGAACAATAAGACAGTACCAAGAGGTGAATGGGGAGAAATGCGCGCGGATTCGCGGTAAAGCAAAGGGAACTCTTTAGAGGCAGACCCGTCCTAATGGCTACGGGCTACGTGCGCAGCGTCACGTGCAGCCGAATGCCATCGAGTTATCAAACACGGAGATTCTCGTTAAGAAAAGTTTTCCCATCGAAATGGAATTAGTACAGTTTACGATGAATTCCTTTTTCGAAGTCTTGGCATATTTCATCGCCACCCCTTGACATTAATTTCAGTCCTAAATTGATTTATTCCTTCTAATTTACGTGGCAATAGAACTTGCTCGGTAAACTGCATCGGTCTTCCTCTTATATTTCCAAGTTATGATTTGTCTAATTTAATTTGTCGCCATTATATCTTTTACTAAGGTAAATATAATTTACTTACTTAATTCATACTTCTGTCAAATGTTAAAAATAACAACATCGTAGTTTCAGAAGTATCAAGACATTTTGTAGCTCTTTTCGAGTGTATCCACGTTTAGTGTGTACACATTTTTCGCAAATGAAAGATTCGGTTTGAAAAAAATGCTGACTTACCAGTCGGACTTGGCGTCAGCGATTTCATGGCCACTTTCACGTGAATGTCGTATCGCTCGAAGAGTCGTAGTTTCGGGCCCCTGGTGCTCTTCTGCAGCGTATGAACAGCCGAAGTTACCGCTTTCGTGTACTCCCTCACGGCGAAGGACTTGTGCGGAACCATCATGCCTACCTGTTACACAAATCAGTTTGCCTAATGGAGTTATGTAAGTAGTGAGTTCCGTTTATGTACAGACAGTGAACTTTGTCAAAAAATTTCTTACATACAATGAACTACGTATTAACTATATTTATATGAGCGAATAGAAGCAATCATTTGGGAAATTAATTGTACGATTATTTAATTAAATTTAAAAGCCCGTTCAAGAAACTTTATACTGAAATCGAATGATAAAATGAACAAATTACTGTAAAATAAAACGCATACGAGGAATATTTAACAGAGATTGCTGGTTTAAAACGCCGTAAAACTTTCAGCTAAAGAGAGTTCAAAACTCGTAATATGGATTTAATTAAAATACCTGCTACGAAGTTTTAATTACGAGAAAACAAAGAAGTAATGACGCAAATAATCGTACTACGCCCCGGCTAGTAGCAATCTAGTCCTTCCGAATTTATCGTCGGCAAAATGAAAAGCGTAACGTAATATGATAGACAAGCATTATGCATCCATTTAAACGGGCGAAAAAATGCATTCAGAGTGTTCACTTTGTTACGTCGAGAATGGATCAGCGCACACACCTGTTGCGTAAATCGATCGCGGCCGGATGAATGGTACGTAGGCAGAGAATGGACAGTAGGTCACATTTTCTGCCTAATCGCTTCGCAAACTTTCCCACTTTCTTCTACTTTTGTCTTAATCCTTCTAATTAATTTTCTTCATTGTTTTAACCGAAAATTTCTCAATCAATTTTATAATAATGCGTTCCATTATTGCATTGTACATTCTAAAAGTTTATTTTATTCGTATAAAATTGAGACAAATTAAAAAACATTGCAAAAGATTTGATTGCAATACACTTTTTAATATTTTACGGAATAATTTGATATTCAGTGACATTTTATGGAATAGCTTATGAAACACTACATTAAACTGGTTCCAATTTTGACCCTGTATAATTCGTAATCACTATTTCAGCAATCAGGGTTCACAATAAGCTAAGCGAACTGATAATAATTGAGAGGGATTTGTAGAATGTACAGTCCTTTGTGTTTCGTACATTTCTCTTCACCTGACTATGTTTAATTGGAAATGTAAATCATCTCGCGTTTACAATTGAATGTTCCGTGACCCAGTTTCCTGCATAATATGCGCTCATAATTGCTGCCTGTTTTGCGGTAGTTTAACTTGATGCTTAAAAAGTTTTGGCTCTCCTTTATTCGGTTCCCCCTCGTCCAGAGACATCTCTACTTCCTGGCTCTTAGCTTCCTGCTCCCAGTTCCAGTCTAGCCTCTGTTTCGCTTCAACTCGGCCTCTTTTTTGTCGTTTTTCTCTACTCACTCTCTCATTCCTCAACTTCCAATTTCAACCAACTTCTCATGTTTTTTATTCTCTTTGTACAGCGACGGACCTCTCTACTTTTCTCTTCCTGTCTCACTCTTTTTGCTGCCGCCTCGCCTTTTTACATCGCTCGTGATTCCGAGTCCACTTTAGTTTTTGTTAATTTCGCCAAATTTCCTCGGACCTCTCCCGTTTTCACAAAATTCTCTCAACGTCACGTTGTCTCATTCTCCTTCCCGTTTACTTTTATAGCTCACGTGCTAGTCGCAAGCTGCCTCGTGTAATTGTGTGTAATTCTTTGCAAACTTCTATTACGATGCACACTTACGTGATACACATCCCTTTTGTATTAAATTTACCTCGACATTTCTCTCAACGTTGCATTTAGTCCCATAAAAATGTACTCTACTGTTTACTTTTTTGAAGAGTCACTAAAGATATGAATTTTTTTATATTCTCCGAAGAGGATAATTTAAAAAATATATTAACGAAATTCGTGAGGATATTTAAAAATTTAATAAAATCGAACAGGGAGCGGTATTATTATTCCAAAGTAATAATCGAAATGAAAGAGAAATCTGTTAGCTGCTGGATTCGACGAATTTTTTCTCACTGTTTTTTTCAAAGAGGACTACAGTCGTTTGAAAAAGGAGGGCAAAAGCGCGAGGAAAAAGACAGCTTTTATCAACGGAGGGATACGTTCTCGTCACCTGGTAGGGATTCTATTCATGAAACATTCAGTTCTGATTACTGCTACTAAAACTGTTCGCAACATTAAATTATCGGGGTTAACGGGCAGCTCAAATCATCTAATTTTTATCGTTCCAACTGCTCCTTGCATTGTACGATAAAGAAAATAGAGAAAAATAATATTATACTTAATAAAGAATAATATTGGAATTAAAGCTGTTTAGAAATTTCCTGCTTTTATGAAGAATAATGTCGTCTAAGCTCGATTTATAGCAAAGTGAACTAGTAGAATGTAATAAGACTGAACAAAAAGGATAAGAATTTTAATCGAAAATTTTAAAGAAAATTTGTAACTGCAGAATTGCGCGTCCGCCCCCCTTTCATCAATTAAATTCTGCTAATTTCCTCAAATCGCTGTACGAATTTTAAATATCATTGTCTCACGTCTGCTCTAAATATCAACGTGTATAATCGTAACTACGTTACCAATATTATTGACTACGTGCGAGTCTCTCAAGGCTCCGTTCAACAAAATACGACTTACCCTCAAGGTGGTAATGTTCCCCTCAGCGGAATTCGGTGCGTGGGTGAACTTAGGCGGCGGCGGCGGCGGCAAGGGCGTGGTGGTCGATGTGGTGAACGGTCTCTGTCTCGTGGAGTTTGGGAATCTCGCCTCGCCTAGCTTTACCCCCGAGTGACCCCGGCCGCCGAGGAGGCCCGTGCCCTTCGCGTGCGTTCCCCGCTCGCTGGTACCGATCTGAATACCGCTGCCGCCCCTCGTTACGCCCCCCTTTTGTAGCATCCCGCCACCCACCAACAGAGACAACGCTAAAGCGAATAGAAGCCGCGCCATTTTTCCTCGTCTCGTTTCACGGCGCGTTTCCGGTACGCTTGTTAAGGTCTACGGCGCGTGTTTCTTGTGTCCGCTTGTCTCGTTTCCCGACGCAACGCGACGCCACGACGCACGCCTTGCCATTCCATTCAGCAAGCCAGAGGGTTCAGCGGCGCGACGACCTTCCCGCGTCCAACTGGACATCCCTTGCCCTCTCGCGACCTCGCATCCTCCGCTCGTGATTCTGAAATGAAAATTAAACGAGATTTATATCGCGGTCGCTTTCGTGGTGTTCTTTATAATTTTATACATGCAAGTTGGAATACTTAAATGACACTTAGAATTAATCTTTTTTCTTGTTTTTTCACTGTAAATAATTCATGCTTTCAAAGTTTTTTCTTAGTGCTATTTTAGATGACAGATTTTACTGACTGTCGCTACATAATACATTTCACACATATTACATTTTACTATTTTATGTAATTGTACAATTATTATTGTACAAATGTCGGTATTCTGCTTCGTACGCGAGATAAGGTAACTTCGCGAAGATAACACTCGCTACTAATTAATATCTTTACAACTGTATCGGAGGTTATTGAGTTTTCCCGTAGAGAGCGAAGGAATAATATGCGAGAATTACGCGGGTCTGCTCGGATTCGAAAATTTGCAATGCGGGATTTCATTTGTCGAAGGGGATATTCGCAAAGGTATTCGAGAAAATCGTGGCGTAAATTTTGATGCGATTGTGTGTGTATTTATCTGAAATAATAACGCTGGTTAACGGTAACACGGATCCCGTGTATAATTCGCAGCGACCGGTAAATTAATTATCAGAACACGCTAATATTGAAACGCTGGCCCGTGTCGCATTGGGTTAATGACAACTGTTTGGATTTTGTTTCAACAATACAAAATTTGATTGATACTTTTGTACCGGATTGTTAATATCCAACGAATGGAAACGAATTTTAGCAATGTTTCACTTAATTGTTATGGACAAAAAACATAATTTTCTTTGGGATTTATTACTAAGTACATTTAATTAAAAAGATTGTTTTAGTATGTAATTCAGATTTAAATGTGTATCACTGAATCAAGTTCAATTTTAATCGAATATTTAATTGCGCTTTACAATGTTAGATTTAGCCAAATCACACAATCTTTTCACTTCCCTTCAACATGCCTTTCACTACTGCATTTACGAATCCCCATTTAATGGGAACTTATTTTACATGCACGCGCGTTTCTCATTTTACGAAAATATACCCCGAGCAGAACAAATATTTGAGTTCGTTTAAGGAGATTAATGAACAGACTCGAACCTCGTCGGCTGGAATATTAATCATCCACGTAGTGGTGTGACACGGACTAGTTTTAAGCCTCATGAGAGGAAAGCGAATTTTTTGAATAATGTTTAAGAAAAGATCAGTGAATCTTTATTACGAAGAGACGAGGGTTCTATACGAATAATTAAAGTAATTCAACAAAGATGATCTTTAAATCAATAGAGCTACTTTATGTCAATGTGTAATCTCATTTAAGTCAGCATATATTTAACAAATAAGATTCCCAATAGATTGGAAAATTGGTAACTCATATTACCACGTGATACGAAGAATGCAAAGTAAAAATAAAGGCAATTACAATAATATGCTCTTAAAACAATAACTACAACCATGTTTTAGCCTTTTAAAAAAATAGTATATTAACACCATAAACATATTGTCTGTTATTGTATTATTTTAAGTGCCTTTTTTTAAAAGTTCGTAAAAGCCCTTGTTCTCGGCTGACTTTATTGTACTCTGCTCTCACAAAGCAGCGAATGCCATTAAGAACGCACTTCACACACGTTCACTCATTGAGGCTACTCATACTGAAGCACGCAGAGCTCCGAGAACATTATTCCCTAAACACCTCCTTCGTTTTTAACACTCAACCTTTTTTTCCATGCTCACGCTTGATTATGAAAGGTTATGAAGAAACCTATGTTTACTCCATTAGCCATATTTTTTTTTCTTCAAAATCATAATCATATTATAAACAAGTAGACTGTTCTGTACCATAAACGAAAAAGAACCATGAAAAATGATAAGGGAATACAGTTTTGTTAAAATTGCATGATAAAAAATTATTCAAAAATAATACATGACCTGTGCATAAATGCCTCGATGTACCACATAATTCACGACTATAATCGTTGATAAACGTTGTACGTAATTAACGCACAGCGTAGAAGATGTTTAAACAGGGTATTAACTTTATGGAACGCGCTGCACTTTTTAATCGGATCAGCATAAAATTAGTTTGCAGGTAATAATGCATGCACTTCAAAAGTGTTAACAGGGATGATTTTTAAACAATAATCCGTAAAATGGAACTTTTAATACGATTATCTTCGAGCTCCCTTCAAGCGTGCATAATCCAATCAAAGGTTTTCACGTTAATCGTAGGCATTATCGTATTAAAAGATTTATCACCATTTACAGTGTCTCTGATCACCGTACAATTATCTTTTCGTATCCTTTGATCGGAATTTCTTGATAAAACGAGCAAAGCTAATTAGGAATGCTTGGGACAGTAATTACGTGTATCGCTTCCACGGAACGGTGGTAACACGTTGAAAGAAGGGAACCGGCGAAATTAATTATATTTCTTCGATACGAAAATGAACGACGATCGTTTTCAACGGGATTCGTAATATCCGAAGATTCGATATGCAAATGCATTCTGAATTTTATCTGCTCCAGTTACGCGCGCCGCGGAAGTGGATCATACATCCGAGGAAAATGCCTTCGGTATAAAAACGAAAATTAATTCGGGATTTTCAGCTGTTCGAATTACCATTTGCCGGAGAGATCTTTCTTGCGCGATTTTCTTGCTCGCCCGTATTCAGCGAACACATAAAAGCCATCCGAATCACGTTAATTGCAGGAATATTCTGGGAAAGATAAGGGGGAAAATGATTTTCGATATCCAACTGAAATCGAACATTCTCATTTCACGTCGTTCGGCGTTCTTTTATCCTTCCCATCGAGGCTCGATGACGTGAACGGAGAATTTGATTTTTAAATCAATTCAACTTTTCATCTCTCTCGCCGACGCGTATGTACATAAAAGAGATAGAGAAGCATTGGATTCAAAAAGTGGCAAGTGATATATGGGACGTCTTTTCGCGTTTTCCAATTTCTCTGTAGACGTGCAAATAAAAAGACGGTGGCGGGGCTCGGCTTATTTAGAAAATGTTTCGAACCGCGCACAGTCGATACGTGTCGTTGGATAGCGACCGACATTCCGGTCACGGAAGCGCAGACAAGCGGAATTTTCATCGTCGTCGAAGTTCCCGGGTTAAAAGCGTGCCAGTTACTTCGTAACATCACGTTCTCGCATTCTCGTGCATTTACGTCTATTAACGGCATTTAATGCGCAGAGTGTGCACGGGTCTATTGAATTATTCACGTCGTCTGCAACTCGCCATAATTTCGCGTAAACGCTCTTCGTGTAACCGAGCGCGAACAGACTTCCGTTAACGAGAACCAGCCGATCTTGTTAGTCAAATCGATCGTCAATAAACGAGATCACATATGAATTAATAAATTGTAGACATTATAGTACGATGGAATATTATATTATACAGATACGTTATATAAATCAAAGGAATTAATAACATTTTTAAATAATAATGATTTTATCTTTTATGTAAGTAATATCTTTTAATTTATTAAGAAAACTTAAGATTAATTACGTTTTTAAAATTCTAAATTAAAATCCAGAAATTAGAGATATAGGGAATCTATACTATAAAAATAAAGTAACAGGTATTTTTGATCGAGTTGTCAGACTCGCCAGGTATTACGTCTAGAAACTTGATATCATTTTCAGGGAACTACAACTCGAACAGTACCATATCTGGGTTAATAATATCAACAGCAATTTTTCCTCGCCGTGACGGCCGTGAGAAAATTACAACATTGCTCCTCAAAGAAACTTGATTGTGACATCTTGTTGAAAGCATCCGATGTAACAAGAATACTCTTTCTAAAAGAGCAACGTGTCGTTGGGAAGCCAATTATATCCTTTGAACATCTGAGTGACGCAACAGATGCGTTAAAATGAGAAATGGTTTGAATACAACGAGTGGCGAATAATTAGAGATGTTACGAGGAATTAATTAAAACGTTTCTTTTACTCAAATGATTTGTATATACGTGTTTAAGTAATGCAATTCACTCGGTGTATACTATATTATACATGTCAATATTCGCACGTCACCAATTTAATCAGTAACTCTATTACGATTTAGAATTCAATTAACAGGCTAAATTCATTGCATATGTTATGCCCACGGATTGAGTTTACGTGTCTACTGCCACAAATATCTACACCACTATTTTACACCGCAGGAAATACAGTGTTAAATTGAATTTAATTCTTAATTTCATCGTGCGCCACGTATCATGTTTGATCGAAAGCATTCTTCCACAGATGGTAGACTACTGCGGTAAACCAACTCGGAAGCAATTTATCACGTTTCAAGATAATCCTTTACTCTCCCTGTGTACCGTTCTTCATCGTGAGATATTATTTTCAAAATTTTTTCAACGTTGAATTCAATCAACCACTCTGGAAGCGACGGAACGTTTCTTTCACACGAGACGCCGAAAGAACGTCGAGTACACGCCGAAATTTCAACGAGTATTCCGCGATTGTTCATGGTCTTGTTCGTCGTGACGTGTAGGCGGGCTCTCTCGTTGCTTTCCCGTGATGAAACAAAAGAGCAGGCAGAGCAGCTCGCAGCTTGAAACTTTGCGAGTTCCTTTCGACGTTACGCAAAATGATATTCCCTGTGTCGATGGTTACCAAGTACTCCCCTCCTGACGTAGCAGCTGAATTAAGGAAGCGTGAATTTCGTCTGGGCGATAAAACTTCGACCTCATGTTTCATTTACGACCCGTAAGCCAAAGAAATATGGCGGCAGCGATTCACTGAATTTTTTCGATATAAATCGTATCGGAGAAACAGCTTGAGCATAAACTTGTGCACAGCTCATAATCAGCTAACGTTTTACTCCTACGTAACTGACGTGTTACAAAGAATGCTATGTTTCACATATCGTTGGCAGATAATTTATCAAAATAGTCAATATCATTCTGTAATCAAGCGTCAAATTGGCTAAACATACACATGAAATTTGATTAGTACAACTTCCTGCCAGCCAGCATACGTGCCTTCATCTGCAAACAC